GAGCGGGAGGAGCGGGGGAGGGGGGTGCTGCCCCCCCTGGCCCCCGGCCCTGGCCCCCCACCTTGCTGAGGGCCCCCTCCCCGCAGGCGGCTGCAGGAGGAGCGGGCGCAGCAGGAGGCGGAGGAGCAGACCCGCAGGGAGGCCCTGGCACGACAGCGGGAGGAGGAACGGCGGCTGCAGGAGGAGCGCGAGGCCCAGGAGAGGGCACGGGCAGAGCGGGAGGAGACGGAGCGTCTGCAGAGACAGGTCTGGGGTGGCAGGGTGCGGGGACAAGGGGCTGCAGGGGAGGCGGGGCAGAGGGGATGGAGGAGGAAGAGGTGGGATGGGGGCTGAAGGCAGGGATGGAGGGGGGAGGCAGGGATGCTCTCCTGTGGTTCCTGCCCCAGTGGGATGCAGGGGAGAGGACCAGCCCAGCCCCTCGATGCCCAGGGTGGCGGGAGGGGACATGGGGCAGGGCTGTGCTGAGCCACCTGAGCAGCTTGTCCCCACTGTCCCTGCCCCATCCCATCCGTTCCTGCCCCATCCCATCCATCCCTGCCCTGTCTCATCTGCCCCTGCTGCCCCACTGCTGCCGCAGAGGGAAGAGGCCGAGGCGAGGGCGCGTGAAGAAGCTGAGCGGCAGCGCCTGGAGCGGGAGAAGCACTTCCAGCGTGAGGAGCAGGAGCGGCTGGAGAGGAAGAAGGTGAGGGCTGGGGGCACCCCTGGCGTGGCACAGTGGGGCGGCCCCTGCAAGGGGTCCTGCCCAGCGCCTGGGGCAGGTCCCGCTGGCGAGGGCTGTGCATGAGCCCCTGTCTGCCCTGCAGCGCCTGGAGGAGATAATGAAGAGGACGCGCAAGTCAGATGCAGCGGATGCCAAGGTGGGTGCCCATCCCCGGTCCTGAGGTGCCTGGGGACGTGGGGGACTCTGCAGAGCCCTCCTGCCCCTGCCCAGAGCCGCCGCTGCCCCTCACGGCTCTCCTCTCCCTGTAGAAGAAGGAGGACAAGAAGGTGGTGAATGGGAAAGCGGCCGAGCAGGAGGATGTCCCAGGTACACGGCCTCTTCCCACAGCCTGCTGCACCTCCAGGGTGCCCGGGGTCCGTGTAGCCACAGCCCTGTCCTGCTCCCCCCCAGCCATGCGGCTGCCCGGGGCCATGGCTGAGTGGGAGCTCTGCTGATGTCCTCAGGCCGTGAGAAGCGCGCGGGGCCGATGCCGAAGAAGGAGGAACTCCCCGAGACAGAGACACCAAATGCAGGGATGCCGGGGGGGCCGACGGACCTGGCAGGCGAGGGGCTGCAGCCGAGGTGAGCGCGGGGGCGGCTGGGGGGACCAGGGGGCGGCCAGGCCATGGCTGACCCCAGCCCTCCCGCCCCACAGCTCCCCTGCGAAGGAGGTGGCGTCCCTGGTGTCCCTGGTGAACGGCGTGCAGCCCGGCAAGCACGAGAACGGCTTCTCGGGCACGGAGGGGTCGCAGGAGCTGCTGGAGCTCTCCCACCACAGCAGCAGCCCCGGCAGCATCATCCCCTTCGGCGACAAGGAGCCCTTCCTCAAGCAGGCCGTGGTCAAGCCCCCCCAGGTGACAGGTGAGAGACGGGGGATGTGCGGGGGGGCCAGGGCGATGCCACGGCTGCCCGGTCTCACCACTGCGCCCTCCCTCCTCCTGCAGAGGTGCTGTGAGGGCCAGGCCCCGGCAGACGTCCCCGCGGGGTCACCGCACACGTCCCGACGCCGGACGCCCGCGCAGAACCGTAGCTGTTGTCAGAAGAAAAACCTCGCTGCTCCCCCCTGCCCGCCGCGTGTGCCCGGCCCTGCCGTGGGGGGCCCGGGCAGTGTGAGACCCCGGTGAGGCGGCCGCTGGCCCCCTGCCCGCCGCGGGGACACCTGGTTTCTCTCTTTGTTCTTGTTTTTATTTCGTTTTGGTTTTTTTTTTTATTTTATTTTAAATATGCACCTTATCAGACTGACACCCCCACCCTAGCAGCCTGCCAGAGCCACCCCAGACGTGTGGTGTAATAATGTAGTTATTTAACTTGCTGGGTACAATGTATGTGAATACTGTAAATAGAGCTCGGCCAGACATCGGGGACGCTCGCCTGGCCCGGCCCTGCGTGGGGTGGGAGATTGGGGGCTGCCGGGGGCTCGCAGGCAGGAGGGCCGCAGCCCGGCCGGGGGGAGATGGCTCCCCGTCCCCACGTCCCCGCGCATGCCTGCGTGCGCGCTGGGTGCCCCCGGAGCGCCCGGCCGGTGCCACGCTGCTCTCCGTGCCGTTGTGACAGTGTTATGCATCCGGACAACCTTTGCGAACAATAAAAATGGACAACTGCCCTCGCCTGGCCTCGCTGTGTCCCCAGGGGATGGGAACCGCGCTGCGGGCGGCCCTGCCTCGGTGCTCCGCGGGGCGGGCAGCAATCCCGGCTCCCCGGCGGCAGGGGCACGGGTTCACCCCCGTGTCAGGGCTGGCCCTCGCAGCCCCCCAGCACCGTGTGCTCTGTCAGCTCCCCGCTCCCCTCCCGGGGACGCGGCGGGCCCCCCCCGG